GAAGTCCCTGCCGTGCTGGCTGGTGGCACCGCGCGGCGTGACAGGACCTGGGAGGGGGTTTTTCTCAGATCTGGTGGGGTGAAACCCACGACCTGTTGTGCGTTTCTCATTAGAAAGATGAAGAAAACCGTCGGCTGGAGGAGAAGAGGAGAGCGGAGGAGGAGCGGCAGCGGTTGGAGAGGGAGCGTCAGGAGCGGGAGCTGCAGGAAGCGGCGGGGCGAGAGCAGAGATACAAAGCGAGATCCAACGAAATCGAAGCCCAGAAGTGAGTCCTCAGCGGTCATAACGATGTCCGGAGCCCATCCCGCTCTCCGACGTCTCTCAGTTTTGCTCTCAGTGGTGCTGTGTGCCCTCCTCACCACCGCGTCCCATCTGCTGTCCCCGCTCCGGCCCCAGTGCTGCCGGCGCGGGGTTGATCGTTGATCGCATCCATGCGTTCCCTGCTGCTGTGCCAAGAAAACTCCTTTAAGGCAGCGGCCGGGGAGGGGATTGGCTTCGGCTTGCGCTGGGGCAGGCCCAGTTTCCCCCACGGCACCGCACAGGTCCCATCCTCCTGGTGGCCCCAACGTCAGTCTGCTCCTGCCAACCTGGGAATGAGTCACGTTTGCCTTCACCCCCTTTCCCACAGTGGTGGTGGGAGTTGTCGTGGGGGGTCCTCCGGCTGGGGGTGCCCCAGCCAGCCCCTGGGGTGCAGAGAGCATCTTCTGCCACTGCCAAACTTCCTTACATGCTTGTCCGGTGTCATCTGTGGAGGTCCCTACCCGCAGATCCTGCCCCAGGACCGAGTCCTCCCTGTGCTTCTGAAACCCCTGGCCGCCGTTCGTGGGGTGCCGGTGGCCCGGGCCGGCTGGTGGAGGGCTCTGAGCCCTGCAGAGAGGAGGCGGTGTGTGCAGGGACCGGCGGTTCTGCTGGTTTCCTTCCTCTCTGAGCCCAGTGTGACCCCCCGGTAGGTGGTGGAGCTCACTCACTGCCTTCCCGTTCCGAGCTGGGATGGGGAAGTCTGCCCCGTCGTTCCGTGCCGGGTGCGCTTGTCCGTGGCCGTGGAGGAAGAGTTTTCCCCTGTTTGGTCCCACTGTCTGAAGCATTTCCTTGCTGGTGGCTCCCGGGTGGCCTGGAGCTGCTCCTCTGGCCCCACAAGTGAGGGGAGAACATCCTTCCTCTGGTCTTCCCCCATGGAGCTGCAGCAGGATGAGGTCCCAAAACAGCCCTGTTTAACCCCGGTTTGTCTTTTGTCGCCGCAGGAGATTCCAGCAGCAGCAGGAGGCCGAGAACAGGGACAAGGAGCAGCAGCAATGGGTGAGCTTTGGCGTCGTGCCCCGTGGCCGGGTTTATCCCTGTGTCCCCCGGGACAGGGAGGACAGGGCTTTGGTTTCAGTGGTGTTGGCGTTACACCTCAGCTCACGTTGGTGCTGCGACGGCCGGGCCACCCGCAGCCCCCCCGGGAAAGCGGAGTTTAAAACTCTTTCCGGGGAAGAGCCTGGGGACGCTGGAGGAAACCGAGCCCGTATCCCAGGGGAAACCTCCTCCATCGCCCTCTCGGCTCTGGGGGGGTTTGTTCCCTGTTAAACCTCCGTCACTGTGTCTGTTCCTTGTTCCCCTTTCTCTGGTCCTGGGGGGTGGATGGGGAAGCAGGGGAATCGATGGGAGAAAATGGAGTTGGAAGGAGGAGAAGGAGGGGGCTGAATGGGGAAAAAGGATGGGTTTGGATGGGAAAGGAGGGGCTG